TGAGCTGCTTTTTTATACATGATCGGTGGCAAGTTATTTAGGTCTCCTGCTTTGTTTTTTTAATGATTTAATTACTAGTGAGACTTCAGAAGGATTTGTTGGTGCTATATGCAGAGTATGTTGGCAATTACCAGTGAAGTAGTCTTGTAGCTGAGTATTTGCTTTTGGGATTTTGCTTGCTAGTTTTGATCCTATAGTAGAAAAGAAACATTAAGTTTGTTGGCAGTGTCTGTAAGCTGTGTGTGTGGTTTGTCTGGTTTCACTAAATTAATCTCTCTGTTTCTAGATAGTTTTCTAGAGCCCAAAATTTCAGAGAGAATTTTCCAGGTATTTTTTCATATCACTTTTTATTTCATTAAATCTGTTTATGTAATACATTTGTTTGGACTTCTGTATTAGATTAGTAAGTATTGAGGTGTATTGTTTACTCAGTTCTTTTGTCATTAGGCCCTGTCTGAATTGTTTTTTATATAGATGTTTTTTATCGATGAATTTACGTATACTATTTGTAAGCCAGGGGCTGTTTAGTCTCTCTGTTGAGATCTGCTTCATTTTCATTGGACAATGTCTATTATAGAGGCTATGGGTTTTGTGTAGAAATATTTTGGCACATTCATCAATATTGTGGCTGTCCACCAACTCGCCCAGCCAGTCAGTGTTACGTAAGGCAGTAATAAAATTATTTACTGATGACTCATCATGTAGTCGAAAAGAGATCTTAGTCGTGTCCTGAGGCAGTCTACCTAAGTTGGTTATGAGAAAAGTTGGGGAGTGATCCATAGTGTTGTCTATGATTATGTCTGCTTTTAGTGGAGATATAGTATTGGTACAGATATGATCAAGTAGTGAGGCACTTGTCTCTGTGATTCTTGATGGTAGTAGCAAGCAGCTGCTCATAGTTTTTGTGAAATAGCTACTTGGGGGTCAGTTGTTTGAATGAGGTTTATATTAAAATCACCAGGATGTAGCAGGTGGTGTTTATTCATCTCTGAGTTAGTTATCGTGTTTCTCAAGTTGTCACTAAATGTGTAAGTATTAGAGTGAGGTAGTCTGTAGACTGCTCCAACTGCTATGTTTTTTTTAAGGTTTTTGGATGTGAATTTTGCAAATATATATTCACCACATTCATTCCTGGTGCAAGCAGATTTAATACATTTTAGTTCATTATAGTAGTTAGTACCTCCTGTGATAGCAATACCCCCTGTGATAGCAGTACCTCCTATGATAGCAGTACCTCCTATGATAGCAGTACTTCCTCCTGACTCTTGACCTGACTTCTCTAATTTAAATATGCCATTAGTAGTGTCATTTACCTCTACACTTCATATGGAAAAGCAAGAGTTAAAGTGTTAGTGATGTTCAGTACAAGTGTGGAGGAAAGACAATACTAAAGGAAATAATTATAAGATCTAATTCACACCAGGTTGTTATACAAGAGTCAGGACTACAGTCTCTGGGAAGAGGGGCGACAGGAAGGTGGGCTGGCAGCTACCTCCTTCCCCAGCAATTTTTTCTAAGTAAAAATCTAGTACTGTATCTTTAAAAAACAATTAGGAAATTTCACTCTGAAAAGTAGCATCGAGACTGCCACGAAAATCATCTTTATAGCATATAATTTTAGATTCTGATAAAATGATGAAGAAACATCAAAAAAAAAAAAGCAGGAAAAACTATGCAAAATAAAGTGGATATGCTTTGAAAATGGTTTTCCTAGCAGCCTTCATACTACTTTTCATGGTGAAACTATTTTTCACATGGAATCTCAGGTGTTAATCTACAATTAGGAAGTCTGAAATGTTGCAATAAAGCCAGCCTACAGCACCATTCAGCAGTGGTAGTATGTTGTTGATGATAATAAATTAGGCCTCTGGATTTTGGCCCTTAATTACTCTTAACTGGTGGATAGCCTAGTGAGGTTGTGCTTGTGATGTCACAGGTTAATGTCTAAACATACTGGATATCAAGCTGCACTGACAGCTACATACATAGTTCACATCAAGCTGCACTGACAGCCACATACATATTGGATGTCAGCCATGCTGACAGCTACATATATACTGGACGTCAAGTTGCACTGAGACCCACATACGTATTGGACATCAAGCTGCTCTGACAGCCACATACATATTGGACATCAAGCTGCACTGACAAAGGATTTCTGCTATGAGGCAGAAAGACCAGAAATTAACAAAAAACCCCCTTTAGGATTCGTGCTTTGATGCTGGTGAAGTACAGAAAGGATATGGACCTGCCCTCCCTCTCCTTGGATCAAAAACAATCATCCCAGTTTCCCAGGCACTGCATGAATCCTATGTATTTAATGCATCAACATAAATTTAACAACAATAATTAAAATAAGAGAACAGTAGTCTACGTAGCAAACTTTTAATATTTATATTTTATAAATTCTTTTGAAAATGTGATGTTTTATTTCATAAGTAACTTTATGGTTAAGTCATCACAGCATCCCAAGATACTAGCTGAAGGTGGGTGATTTATGGGAGAGTCAAACATTTACATCAGTTGACAAATGGATGAATAATTATAGGCTATGTTTAAAATTATGAGATGCTATGGTGCAGCCCAGGTAGTTGGAGAGAGGTAGTACATCAATAAGTATACTGATTGTAACTTACTATCTGCTTAAACAAACTATGATCAATTTCTCTAGTATTAAGTAGTCCATAAGCCATTAATTTAGTCTGCCCATAATGCCATGGCATGATAGTGGCTCTCTTTGCACTGCAGTTCATTACTGTAACTACAGAATCTCAATTTAAACTTGCAAAGAAATAAAAATTGTATTGTATTGTTTTGTATACTGCAAAAAGACACATATAGCAAAAGCAGATTGTTTATTAAACACAGTTTCACCTACAAGGCACTTTACCAAAACTTGACAGACTTTTGTAGGCAACATGTCATATTTAATAAAAGATCTGGTTTGATTCTATAGGTAGGCCATCACTAATCCAAAAATCAGTAATCCGGTTCCATCAGTAATCTGGCACTAATTTTGGCTAGAATAACTTCAAATTTCATCATTATACTGGCTCAAATCATTATGCTGATTCAAATTTCATCATTATACTGACTCAGAAATGGTGCAGATGGTTGTAAATCCACAGCAGCAAGCCAGTGGAGAAGAAAGCAGTGATGAAAATGAGGAAGATGTAGCAGAAAGAGTCTCTGTTGATAGGTTAATTAAGTGTATTCTACCCTAACTACTCTGTAATCCAGCAAACTATAATTCGGTACACTACAGGTCCCAATGATGCTGGATTAGTGATGGCCAACTGTACTATAAATGGCTTTCACTAGGCAGAGTACTTGCCACTGTTACCACAGTTTTAACAGAATCATTAGGTAGGTGTACCTACTGACACTTTCTTAACCCTTTGGGGGTTTCGGATGTACTAGTACGTCTTACGACCCAGGGTTTTTGACGTACTAGTACGCCTAAATTCTAGCACCCTCAAATCTAGTGAGAGAAAGCTGGTAGGCCTACATACATAAGAATGGGTCTATGTGGTCAGTGTGCACAGTATAAAAAAAATCCTGCAGCACACAGTGCGTAAGGAGAAAAAAAAAAACTTTGACCGTGTTTTTGGATTAAAACAGCGACTTTGCACTGTATTTTCGTATGGTATTTATTGTTGTATTCTAGCTTTCTTGGTCTTATTTTATAGAATGGAAGACATATTACAGAAATTAAGATGATTTTGATTGGTTTTACAATGAAAAGTACCTTGAAATTGAGCTCAAAGTAGCAGAAATGTTCGATTTTTACCAAAATTCAAAAGTAAACAAATCATGCCAGGCGTCCAATACACATCAACTGGTGAGTCTAATATTCTTTCACAAGTGTGCTGATATTATTTATACCATTTCTACACTAATGCAGTAGTCTGCATAACAGTAAATCTTATTTTTTTTTGTAAGAATAAAATTTCAAAGTGGAAAGCCAAAGAAATATAAGAGGGGCCTGGGGATGTGACTAACAAACAGAGAACTTGCTATTTTAGTGCCAGGAATGTCTTTATTGTTTATTCTGGACCCTATTCAGAAATTGGCATCTTTTGAAATTTGTGTGAAATTGGCAAAATTGCTAAATTCTGACCACTGTATTGGATAGTTGAAATCGGTAAATGGGTGGTTTCTTGTACTCATTCAATAGAAAAAAACGGAGTTTTAGTGAAATAGTTATGATTTTTGTCGACTAGCACATTGGAATTGGCCAAAAATAGGGCTCAAAGTGGGCAAAATAGCCGATGCGTAAACATCATCGAGACCGCTAACTTCGCGAGAGCATAATTCCGTAAGTTTTCCATCAAATTTCATACTTTTGGTGTCATTATGATCGGGAAAAGATTCTCTATCCTTTCATAAGAAAAAATTTTTTTTTTTTTTTTTTTTAAATTTGGGCAACCCTGAGAACAAGTCTCTGAGAGGGCCTGTCGACCCTGAACGGGTTAATTAAAAACTACCCAGTAACTCTAGGTTATTACAGACAAGTGCATTTTCTGCATTTACTAAATAGACATTTCAAAATAATAATAAAATAAAAAAGCAAGAGACTAGAGAAGACAGATATGAAATACAATATCATCTGAAAAATGGGACCAAAAATGAAGGGAATAATGCATTATAAATAAAAGTTGTATGACCCATTCATATTTAACACTTTCTTGTGAATATAAAAATTGGGGAAGGATTCCTCTACTCCCTCTCTTCAGGAGGGTCTCTTAATGAAGTTAGCTGGTCTTGTACTAAAATGTTTCATATACATACAAGACTTATAAATCATAAAAAAAAACTTAGGCCCAATATTCATGTTTTTAAACTTCTCAAGTTGAAAATGTCTTTTGGGGTACTGTAATAATATTTAACTTAAATCTGTTGAGCAGCAACTCGGCATTCTATTTAATATAAATTTGTTGATCATAAACTCAGCATTCAAGATAAGAGAAAGAGAGAGCACATGATTGTTATAAACTTACTTGGTGTAGATGCGAGTCTTGCTGTGCTTGATGGAGAGAATCCAGATCCTGCCGTGTCACAGATATACAGTCTCGAAGTCCACGTGCTACACTACTGCTGATCTGTGATGCTCGCTCTGGTCGGGGAGACTTGGGCACCTTCACATGAGGTGGCAGAGCAAGGACTCGGCGCACATCCCTTGGCGATGATCCTGTCTGACCTAGTACACCCTGACCTGCCCATCCTGCTCTGGCTCCAGACTGCTGTGGTGACCCTGCTCCTGAGCCTGATCGTCGGTGCGTGAGTAAGCCACCAAAGGATCGAGAGCGTGTGAGGCCCTGGTGTATAGGTGAGCCTTCACGCCCCTCACAACGCTCACGTAGTGACATTCCCCCTCCACTGTGACAGTGCTGTTGCTGATCAAGATCTTCTCGATCGTCGTCGGGTAAGTGTGCAGACTCGTACCCCGGATCAGAGAGTGCTGCATGCAAGCAGGGACGACGAGGAGCACCCGATGATGAACAGCAGGAGGACGATGCACCCGAGGAGGAAGTATCACTCCGAGAGGAGTTACTGCGGGTAGTGCCGGGGACGCCTGCACCCCCCTGGGATTGTCCCGGGGGGTTCAAGCTGCCCCCTACCCCCTCAACACCACTATGGTCAGCTTCTCCACCAGCAAGAGGCTCACCCACCTCCCACAGTTCCACTCCCAGCTGCACCTGTAACATAAAACATTAATAAACATTACCATCCAATTAGAAGTAATAATAAAACACAAACAACTGACATATAAAGCAATAAAATATGCACATCTACTGACAGATAAATAAATTCCACACTGATAGACACTATAATTAAGTAGAAAGGCTTGATATACAGTGGACCCCCGCATAACGATCACCTCCAAATGTGACCAATTATGTAAGTGTATTTATGTAAGTGCGTTTGTACGTGTATGTTTGGGGGTCTAAAATGGACTAATCTACTTCACAATATTCCTTATGGGAACAAATTCGGTCAGTACTGGCACCTGAACATACTTCTGGAGTGAAAAAATATCGTTAACTGGGGTCCACTGTACTTTATTGCAGTCTTAATCAGAAACCTTCTTCAGGAGTTGTACTGAAGAGTGTCTGCTTATTGATTACTGTTTATGACACTTATAATAACAATAATAATACCTTTATTTCTACAAGTACATGTACAAAGTATACAGGCCTAGCTGACATCAATGACATATACTACTACTATATACAAAGCCACTTGTTTCAGAGCATTTCGGGCAAATTAGGTCAGTTTTGTCCCAAGATGCGACCCACGCCAGTTGTCTAACACCCAGGTACCCATTTTACTGATGGGTGAACATAGACAACCAGCGTAAAGAAAGATGTTTCTACCCTCACCGGGAATCGAACCCGGACCCTCGCCGTGTGAAGCAAGAAATTTAGCTACCAGGCCATGGGGCACTGTGGCTGAGCTTCATCAAGCCAATACAAGCAATATAAATCATGGACAAGGAGGATTTATAAAGGGAGTGAAGTTTCTGGAAGAGAGTAGTAGTAATAGCACCAGCAGAGGTATTAGTGGCAGTAAAGGTGATGGTGGTGGTAACAGTAGAAGTAGTTGTCATAGTAGTAACAGTCACAATAACAGTGGCAGCAGCAGCAACAGCAGAAGTTTCAAATGCCTTAAAAATCACTTCCACATGCCAAATAGATATTTTCTTTTTATGTGCATATTCAGTTTAGTTTGTGAACAAATTTGTCAATGCATTAAATATTTGTTTAAAATTTGGAATTGTTGGATTTTTTTTCAAATTAGACTATCTATTAAAAACACAAAATAAATTGTTTTACAGGATTGAAAAGAATTTTAACACTAAAAGAACTGCAAAACAAAAAAATTAAAAATAATGAATACACCTACCATCCGACTTACGACTGAGCTTGGCTCTGACCAACTGGTCATAAGTCAAAATGGATGAAAGTCTGACAATACAAACAGTTTTTTATTTGCTTACAAAACATTTGTATGCATGAAAGCATACGAAAACATTCGTTTGCTAAGCTGCAAGCAGTATGGTCGTTAGTACGAGTGGTAGTATGTTGAGCAGGTTGCAAGTCAGATGGTAGGTGTACTTGCATTTTTATAGTATTTTAAAGCTCATGAGCTGAGTGATTATTATTATAATCAAAAGAAGTGCTAAACCTACAAGGGTCATACATAAAGCTTCAGAATGCCATATCCAAATTGGTTTCAAATTTCAAATCTTGGTCAATTATTACAAGGTGAGGGTTCAAAGAACAACTGAAATGTGCAGGTGCTCTCTTTTCAATTTGTTATATACAGTGGTACCTTGACTTACGGGTTTAATTCGTTCTGTGACTCAACTTGTAACTCAATTTGCTTGTATATCAAATCAATTTTCCTCATTAAAATTAACTGAAATGCCATTAATCCCTTTCAACCCCCAAAAAACCACCCTAATTTTTTTGTTATGGGTTTTTTAAATAAGAGAAATGTATTTATAAATAAGAAATGATTTCTGTCTTTTTGCCAGCAATGTTTTAGAAATGTTGGAGGTATGTATTAAACTCCTTGCAGCATGGTTTATGACGAATGTCACTCCACTGCCAGTGGAGTGACACTTGTGGAGTGACAGCTGATGATCATGAACTGCCTTGGCTTTATTTTTCACTGTTACACATCAACATGTCTGGCTATCTGTTTGCTTCTGTCTGTCTGTCTATCTGTTTATCTGTCTAGCTCTATGTTTATCTGTCTAGCTCTATGTTTATCTGTCTAGCTCTATGTTTATCTGTCTAGCTCTATGTTTATCTGTCTCTGCTTATCTTTCTGTCTGCTTGTGTTTCTGTCTTCCTCTCTCTCTACTTGTCTCTCTGTCTCTGAAAGAGAGCCACTCATGAACCAACAGGTTTTACACATGATGCAAAGTCAGTCACGTCTGATTCCCGAACAAGTGAAAATGCGCATTACTTGCCAGTCATGCTTATTATGCCTCATATTAACGAGCACAGTATAGCAGTCTGTCTGGATTTTTGGGTTATCTTAAGTAATTTACACTATGAATAACTATTTATGTGTACCTGTGAGACAGAGACAGACAGACAGAGACAGGGATAGATACAGGCAGACAGAAGGAGACAGACAGACAGAGCCAGCCAGCCAGACAGACAGACAGACAGACAGAGCCAGCCAGCCAGCCAGACAGACAGACAGAGCCAGCCAGACAGACAGACAGAGCCAGCCAGCCAGCCAGACAGACAGACAGAGCCAGACAGACAGACAGAGCCAGCCAGCCAGACAGACAGACAGAGCCAGCCAGCCAGACAGACAGACAGAGCCAGCCAGCCAGACAGACAGACAGAGCCAGCCAGCCAGACAGACAGAGCCAGCCAGCCAGCCAGACAGACAGACAGAGCCAGCCAGCCAGACAGACAGACAGAGCCAGCCAGCCAGACAGAGCCAGCCAGCCAGCCAGCCAGACAGACAGAGCCAGCCAGCCAGCCAGCCAGACAGAGCCAGCCAGCCAGCCAGCCAGCCAGCCAGCCAGCCAGCCAGCCAGCCAGCCAGCCAGCCAGCCGAATATGTATTACACATGTATTACTTAGGGCATATGTTATAGAACATTCTGGCAGGATGACAGGATGTTACACATTGGTTATTATCAAGGTTTTTCACACAGTGGACCCTCCCTTTTTGTCAATCTCCATTATTGCTGATTTCCATTTTCGTCATTTTTTTCATCGATATTTTGGTTCTGTTTTTGTCAATTTCCTCCATTTTCGTCGATGATACGGAACCTGTCCAGTGCTCAGCGCACAGACAAAGCCGCCTTCCACACGCATTCTCAGGCAATGTCGTATCGTTTTTCGGTGAGTGAACATATCCTGCGAGGTCATACAAAACATTTCGTTTTGCACTTGTTTATTGCGTGTGACTGCTAAGTAAGTCACCATGGCCCCAAAGAAAGCTTCTAGTGCCAGCCCTTTGGTAAGCAAAGTGAGAAACACCGTAGAAATGAAAAAAGAAATTGTTCAAAAATGTGATAGTGCCATACGCATTGCTGAACTCGGCAGGATATATGGGAAGGTGCCATCAACGATCAGCTCCATTATGGCAAAGAGAAAAGAAATCATGGAAGTTGATGTTGCTAAAGAGGTGAATGTGATAACCACACAGAGATCCCAAACAATTGAAAAAGTGGAGAAATTGTTGTTGGTGTGGATCAGAAAGAGAAAGTTAGCAGGAGATAGTGTTGTGCAGTCGATAATTTGTGAAAAGGCAAGGCAGTTGCATGGTGATCTCATAAAGAAACTGCCTGAAATAAGTGATGATGTTGGTGATTGAAGGCCAGCAAAGGCTGGTTCGAAAAATTCAAGAAGCGAAGTGGCATACAGTGTTGTAAGGCAGGGTGAGGGTGCCAGTTCAGACAAACAAGCAGCTGAAAAATTTGTGCGGGAATTCAAAGGTTATGTAGATGCTGAAAAATTCCAACCTCAACAAGTGGCCAATTGTTACGAAACAGACCTCTTTTTGAAGAAAATGCCAAAGAGAACCTACATCAAAAAGAAGGAAAAGGCACTCCCAGGATACAAGCCAATGAAAGACAAGCTAACTCTCTTGTTGTGTGGTAATGCTAGTGCGGATTTCAAAGTGAAACCTTTACTGGTGTATCACTCTGAAAATCCCAGAGTGTTCAAGAAAAACAGTGTTGTCAAGAGTAAACTGTGTGTGATGTGAAGGCTAGCAATAGGGCATGGGTCACTAGGGAAATTTTCCTGGAATGGTTCAATGAAGTGTTTGGCCTGAGTGTGAAGAAATACCTCCTGGATAATAAACTACCACTTCAGTGCCTCCCATTAATGGACAATGGCTCCTGCTCATCCTCCAGACTTGGAAGACCAATTGTATAAGGAATTCAGCTTTGTAACAGTGAAGTTCTTGCCTCCTAACACCACTCCTCTCATCCAGCCCATGGGCCAGCAGATCATTGCTAACTTCAAAAAACTCACACCAAAGCAATGTTTCAAAGGTGCTTTGACATAACCTTGGATTTACATTATTTCTTATGAGGAAAATGGTTTCCATTTTTGCCAATTTCCGTTTTCACTGGTCACTCTGGAATGGATTAAACACGAAAACTGAGGGTCCACTGTATTTCCTCTGTCCTGTGAGAGGAGGCATATCTGAAACTCACTTGTAACTCAGATTTTGGCTCACAACTCAAAGCAAAAAAGTGACCAGCGACGGCTCATAACTCGGAAAACTTGTAAGTCAAGGTACCACTGCATTCCCAAAATTTATATCCACAAAACTATTTTAAAGATCCACTTTTGATTGGCTTCATAATTTCGTTATCATTGAGTGACTAACTTATTAGGAATACTCAAAAATGAACCTCTAAGAGGATACTTTATTTTTTCTTTTTATTTTTCCATCCTCCACCATTCATACTTTATTTCACTTATAACTTGAGAATGCCTCATCAAATTTTCAACAATTGTACATGATAATGAGGACTAAACTCTTTGAACAAATGACAAGTTCACGTGCCCTAATAGCTGTGATGATATGCTTTTGAGGATTTATGAGAGCTTTCCTACTCTACCACAAGTCGCAAGCCTCGGTTTCTATACATACATCTCACATATTACTGTCAACAGTGCAGTGCAGAAAGGTAAAGTGGAAATCAGCT